AGACTCCGATGGGCAGGACCCTGGCTGCCCACCAGCCAGTCTTTGTCCTCCCTTCGTCGAGCAGAAGACTCCGATGGGCAGGACCCTGGCTGCCCACCAGCCAGTCTTTGTCCTCCTTTCGTCGAGCAGAAGACTCCGATGGGCAGGACCCTGGCTGCCCACCAGCCAATCTTTGTCCTCCTTTCGTCGAGCAGAAGACTCCGATGGGCAGGACCCTGGCTGCCCACCAGCCAGTCTTTGTCCTCCTTTCGTCGAGCAGAAGACTCCGATGGGCAGGACCCTGGCTACCCACCAGCCAGTCTTTGTCCTCTCTTTCGTCGGGCAGAAGACTCTGTCGGGCAGGACCCTGGCTTCCATCCAGCCTTGTCCTCCCTTCGAAAACCTACTACCTCGAAAACTTACACGGGACCATATAGCTCGACCATGGAACGCTGAAAAGCTAAAAAAATACTACAGTTAAACAACACTGCCCGCGAGGGACAACCCGCGCGAACAAGAGGGTAGACTGATACGGCCACACCTCACCGACCTTACCTTAGCGGGCATTATACCTCCCCGAACAAAAAGAGAATAGCCCGCTCGACGGCACCCCCTCGATCGAGAGTCGCCGCCGCAGTATCATAATCGGCCGAACGCCCAGCTCGTGATGGGATGTTCAAGCCTACAGGATAGATCACAACCGTGACCTAACTCTTGTCCGCCCAGGAAGCTACCCCGGGCATCCGGATAGTTCCCCACACTACCGGGCAACACGCACCGAGCAAAGGTCCCCCACAAAACAATAAACGTTCACATCATAATGGAGCTCGGCAAAACGAGCCAACACTTAGCGAAAAAGCATAACAATCATGCACGCACACAAAACTTAGAAAGGAAAACAAGAATTCCATAAAAGGGGCACAAGCCCAGAAGTCAAAACGTTATAATAAACGGGCACGACCCCGGATGTCGAGCAGAAACGATCGAAGGTGTCGAGCAGAATTTTTTGGATGTCGAGCGACTGCAATTTCGCCCTTCCCAGATGATCGATACGATCGACGCCATTCTCGCATCCTGCCTGACATATCAGCGCGCGCAACGCTATTCTCTACTTAAGTCATAGCTCTCCTGACAGCGAACTACGACTTCGGGGGCTCCTGTTCTGGACTGGGCCGAGGCTTAACCCACAATCGAGAAGGCCCTCCCACTGAGGTTGGGCCCAATTGGACCACACTGATGAGCAGGGACCCATGGGCAGAACCTCCTCCCGTCGGGCAGGTGCCCATCCCGTGGGCAGAACCTGTGCCCATCCTGTCGGGCAGAACCTGTGTCCATCCCGTGGGCAGAACCTCCTCCCGTCGGGCAGGTGCCCATCCCGTGGGAAGAACTTGTGCCCATCCCGTCTGGCAGCACAACATGCCTTCCACACGTTCTCCGCGTGCTCCCCTCCGCGGGGACACATCATCAACCAACTGCCCACCTCCGAAAGAGCAGGTAAAACCCACTTTCCAGAGATCTAGGAGTAGTTGGACTAGGGCGAAGACCACGTCCTGGTCTTCACTACGCCACGTAAGCCCTAGCAGTCATTTGAATTGGGCCTGGCCATCCAGCCCAACTCAAATGACCGTTGGCCCAGCGCTGGGGTCTCTCTATAAATACCCTCTTCCCCAAGAGGGCCAGGTAATGCAATTCTCTACCAACTTTCTGTATTTGCTGTCACTCTGCCCATTTTCTCACTTTGGCATCGGAGTGCCTTGCAGGTACACCCCCTCCTCATCCTCTCCACCGGTGAACAGGAAGCTGCCTAACGGAGCGTGGCCATCCAGTGATCCCCTCCTGATCAGGTCAGATCATAAACTATTCAAGAGTATTTAACCTGTCATCCCAAAAATATTTTTACCATTATATTCTTTTATAAAAATCATGTTTTTTAAAATTTAAATATTTTTACCGAAAATTTACAATACATATCATAAACTTTAGAATTTTTGCAATTTTTTATCAAAAATTTCTGATAAAAACTAAAAAAATTTGGAAGAAAATGAAGAGTACTAGACATTTTGAAATTTCTAGAAAAAATATGAAAAAAAGATTTTATGCTACAAGAAATTTCAAATTTTCTGAACAATATTAAAAATTTTGAATTTTTTTTTTCGAAAAAAGAAATTTTCAAAAAATTTGAAATTTATTTTGTAAAACTCAAATATTTTTCATAGTTATCATTTTTAATAAAATTTCAAAATTCTCAATAAAAAAAATTTAAAAGAAGTTTGATAAAAAATGGGAGATGACAAGTTAATTTTTACTATTCAATAAACTTAAAAGATAAATTTTATCTTATAAATAAAATTAGAAGAAGCATTGATTTAAAGAACAAGTAACTCACCCGAGTGTTCTAGATTAATTTCAGCAACTAACTTAAAGATTGAGTCAAATACAGTATAAATGTATCATCATACCAGTGAACAGTATAAAAAAATAAAACATTTATTTATCCTATTTGTTTGACACATAGGATTTTAATAACAGAAAAATTGATTCATTTGTGATTACTATGTTTTTTATTTACCAACAAGAGTACGAGTGCATGAACCTATTTTCAACAAAGGAAGACCAATGTTTAGGTTGAATTTTGCTTTGGTGTCTTCACGTGTTAATGTCATTGATGATGTCATCATTTACTCTCAACCACTACACCATCACGTGCACTCAATTGTACATACATGCCATGGAACATGCCTTGTCAACAAAATACAAATCCCTTCCATTTTTATAACATATTTGGTCGGTCTCACAAATTTAGTAGCATCTCTAACAAAGATGTTACTAGTACCTTCGAATTTCATAACTTGTATGATATCTATATAACAATTTATGAGTTGCTTAAATTATATATATTCCTCTAAGAAGAAGAAAAAAGTATCTCTTTATTAAATATTTTCCGACAACTTATTAATCAAGAAATATTTTTAAACGTTTAAATAAATAAAGCAGCTTATTAGTTATTACTAATATATGTCTAAATATAGCAACTTATTACACTCTAATATTATTCCAACGAGATTTTAGTTTAATTTAATGAAAGAAGTTAGACTTTTATAATAATGAGTACAAATGTTGGAGATGCTTTTATTCTCCTTAGTTTTGTAGGAGGAATAAGATACCTCCAATTTTGGTTTTAATTAATATAAAAATTGATATTTTAAATGTAGGTATCATGTGAGTTAGGTACATATGATGGAACCTTCTTATTACTTTAATCGTAAATTATACATAAATGTTACGGTTGTGTTATTTAGACATAAAATATGAACATTGTATATCAAAAAATATTGTGTTCATATCTATTTATGTATATTGTGTTCTATCTATGAAATGTATAACGAAAAAATTAAATTGTTCAATTCAAAATAAAATATCACAATAAAAATGTAATAAGTAAAAAATTGTGTTAATTTACACTAAGAAAAAAATTATAATGCATAACATATTATATTAATATATGAAAATAACTATAAATTTCATTAGATACGAAATAATAAAAAGTGTATTACTAATACGTTAAGTATATGTATTGGGTGTGAGTTTAATTTTAAAGACAGGAGTTTGAATTTACAACATTTTACTTTTTATTTTTAAGAAGTGGAATTGATCACTAGTTTCATTAAATCACAAATAAAGCACTAAATCAGATAATACTGTACTCTTCTGTTTTTTATTAAATGTTGTTTTAGACTTTTCATGTGTATTAAGAATGATTTTATAAAACTAATTTTTAATAATAGTGTTGAAAAAATAAATTTAAAAAATTCAAAGAAATAATAAATATTTAAAAATATAAAAAGATATTTAATAATAGAGAGACATATTTTGATAGTTATTTTTTAAAGCTGACTTTTAAAAAAAAAACTGAAGGAATGTTTTGCATCAAATTTTTAATCTTTGATTATATGTGTAAAATTTTGCAAAAAGATATAGGCAGAAACGAGACGTAAATTTTGATCTGTTATGTAAAAAAAAATGAAGGCAGGACCGTACTATTCCGCAGACACTACATATTTTAAATTTAAAAATATAAAAATTTAGGTAAAAATCACCGTCCACAAAATCCTAGATAAAAAACGGGGGAGACAGATGAATACATTACTGTATATTTTAAATTTAAAAATATAAAAATTTAGATAAAAGTCACCATTCACAAAATTCTAAATAAAAAACGGGACGATGAACACATTAAAGCGACCCATCCCACCAAAATGCGAACAATATAGACATGTCGTCCATCCCACAAAAATGCGAACAATATAGACATGTCGTCCATCCCACAAAAATGCGAACAATATAGACATGTCGCCCAACATGCTGGACCCGTTTTGCCACCCCAAAATTTTCAAATCTAAATTTGTTGTTGTAAATAAAAATGTAGGGTTGATACTTTGTACAAGTAGTACATGTTTGTCCTCAGGCTATAACTATTTTGCTGTTGACATTTTTTAGACAGAAAACCATTAACCAATCTGACAAGTTAGAATTCACCACAACCGACTCAACCTTTTTGTGGTTTATAGCAACACTTTTTGAAATGTGAAACTGGCTCTGTCAGAAAACATTTGTCAGTTTAGAAAACTACAGAACCAAGTGGTGTTTCTCCAATTGAATAGTTTTGTTTTCTTAACAAGATCCAATTGCTTTGTACACAGTACATTATGATACATAATACATAAATAAGCACATGATTGAACATATTCTACTCTCTATATAATCTATTATATATATAACCCAAATCTTTTACAACGATTTTTACAATTTAACAAAAAATAAAATATTCATTTGGGCCAGACCATAATCCACCCTCATGAGACCCCATCAAAATCACCTGATTCCAGGTTGTTTTTCTAACACATGATGTAGCCAAGATATGTCACAGTGACCACTAATGAGATATACATACAGCTAAGTGCATCTTTGAAATCACAGTGACATGTTATGATTCTCTGACAAATTCGCCATCGATATGCGCACTACGGCGATGGATTATCGTCATCCGAGGAACTGTAATGTTTCCTTCCATGTAAACCAGGAAGTGGTTGTGGAAGCATAGGGTTCACTGGGACAGGAAATCTATGAGCTGAACTAATCATGGTCCTTTCATTTATATTACCAACTTCTTTGCACACTCTATCAAGAACTGTTAAGAAATCTCTTACTACCATGAAGATTCTAAATGGATGAGCTTCTTCTTTAGATAAGTTTCCATGAAAATACTCTGTGATCTCTTTCACTAGTGATAATGCAACACTTTCTTGTGCTTGAATTCTCACAATCTCTTCCTCGGCCATTCTCATGAACTTGTTCATTGATTCTGTGAATTTACGAACATTTTCATCAGATCCTGCTGTTTGATTCAATTTCACAATCTCGATAATGTGTTTGATTCCTTTTGAAAGTTTAGAGACTTCGCTCGTGAGAACTTCAGAGTCCATTGCCGCAGCCTTCTTAACATTCGCTAGATCAGAACTTAGACTAGATACTACTTGAAGACCAAGCCTCCTACACTTGGCGTCGTCGCTTAATGTTGTGCTTGGTGTTTGATTAGTAACACTAGTAGTAGTGGTAGTTGTAGTAGTCGTGTCCGAATGACGAGCTCCTTCGGTTCTAATGATTTCTTGTACGACAAAGTGCAGAAGAGTTGTTTTTCCGTCTGCGCCTTTGACATCAACCAGCTTTAGAAGTGTATCGAGCTTGAACGCATGCGCATCACCTCGGTTTGTTCCAACATTCATGCGGTTCCCGGTTTTTAGCACGGCTTCTAGTAGCTTCAAGAACATTCTACTGTTTCGCAGCTCTTCACATGCAACCTGCAAATGTGTCAATCAGTAAATACAAAGAACCACAAATTATGGAATATCATAATCGGATTCTATTACGCTTTGAATACCTCTAGAGTTTGAAATGATTTCCGAAGATACTCCACTTCAGACTCAAAATTGGCTATGTAAAGCATAGCTTCGACCCTTTTAAATGCAAAAGGTACATCAAGCACTGCCTTCAAAAACTTCTCAGCAGGACCAAGTTTGTTTGGAGTGTCTTCTTTATATTCCTTCAATTTGCGTTCTTCTTCCTTGCTTGGCGCCATTTTTAACAAGCTTTCGAGTAGTTCGGTATTAAGTGTATCAGTAACACCTGTTAAAAAGACAAATTGCTTTAAATACAACTACCAATTGTATAGCCGTTAACTAAAAATGATGTGTAAGTAGGTAATAAATCTAATCGAAAGGATTATGAGGAAACAAAAGCAAACAAGAATTTACATAGGTGATGGCTTAACCGCAGCACTTAAACAAGAAATTGTTCAACAACAGATCTAATCAATAATTACTTACAACAAAACTTAAAAGGAAAATAAAATGCATACCTTCTAACAGTGCTTCACACACTTCCTCTACCGTAACGTTAACCGCTCGAAGTAAGATAGAAATATTTTGAGACTTTTTAGGATCCAACACCCTATCCTCATGATTTTGAGGTGCAAGAACTGAACGTGGAGTAGCATCCTTTGGTTTTGGATTTGGCGTGTTCACCACAAACAATGTTTCTATCATTTCTTCATTCAACCTGCACCAAATCACATTTCATTTTAAAAACACGTATTGCAATATAGAACTAAACATCAGAATCATCAAGTAACACGAAGACATCATTAATAATTTGAGAAAATGAAACAATTGAATGTAATTACTAACATTCCTAAAATAGTAAAATAACAGTTATCTATAATAATCTATAAGCAAGAATCAACAACAAAACAATATGAAAATGGCATGGTGATGAGATTTGAATTGAAACACTTACTTAAAAGAGCTGGACCTCAAATGATCCCAAACCATTTCACGATCAGAACTAGCCCTCACTTTATCCCAATGCAAAGGCTTCAACTTCGGTTTCAAAACCTCTTCTGCATTCTCCTCAAAACTAGGTGGCAATTCAACAGGAGAAACCAATGTATTTGAAGGGGTTTGCAACACAAAAGGCCTTGAAGGAGGTTTCAGTTCCGGTGGCCTACAAACCACCGGTTGACCGACAGGAGTTGTTGGAGAAGGTACTTCCCATTGCTTCCGTTGTCGCTGCGACATTGCCGGTGGTGGTGGAGGTGGCGGCGGTGGGGCTGAAACTTTAACAGAAGGTGCAATTGGTGTTGAAAGGACCGGTATTTCCCATTGTTTCCTTTGAGATGCAATACCATGTGGAATCAAAACACTTGGTGATTCAACAATTGGTGTTAAGAGGTCTGGAATCTCCCAATGCTTCCTAGAAGGTGGAGGTGGCGGCGGCGGTGGTAGTCGAGTGTTCATCGGGTTCATCTCTCTCTCTGGCGATGAAAGAAGTGTCGGTGAAAGTGGCAATGATGAGAGAGGAGAATGTCTAAACCGATCTGAAACATCTGAAATTGTTGGAGACTGATCCAACCCATGATTGTTATGATGATGCATCATTGCAACTTTCTCCGGCGACGGTAGAGTAAACGCTGAAGAGGAAGATTTACCACTAGAAGCATTTGATAATCTTGGTGAAGAAGCATCTCCGTTACAAGATTCAGTCTTTACGAGATTAACAACAGGCCCATTAGAGTTTTTCGACGGTGAAAGGTTAAGCGGTGATAAAGACGGTGATTGACATTCTCCGGCAAAGATTTTCTCCGGTGTTGAAGACATTGAAGAAGCAGACCTCACGTTCCGGTTCGAAGAAGCTTGTGATGATGAAACCGAGCTTCTTCCACCGTCGCTACCGTGTATTGTCTCTGTCGGTGGCTGTGAAAGTACATTTTCCGGCGACTTCGATTGTGATCTTCTCGGACTTAAACTAACCGGCGGCGAGAGACTAATAGAGTGAGAACGATCCGGTGAAGCAGAAGAAGACGAATAAGAAGATGAAGAAGTAGATTCATTACTACTTCGACCCACCAAATTCTCAGCTGAAATCCCGGCGAAGATTCTCCGAGAACCCGATCCATTTCCATTCAAAGAGCCTCTCGGCGAGTAAAACTCCTCTTCCTCGTCTTCACCTTCCCCCACCGGAGCAGCACCTCCATCGTAAACCCTCGAGCCTTGTCGAGCAAGCCGCGGTAACGGCTGAAGCTCCGGCGAGTCCATTTTCCTCGTATTCCGATGAGATTCAGGTAGTTCATCTCCACGAGAGTTAACAATGGTACCAAGATAAAGAAACTCGGAGCTAGTAGAAGAAACATTTCTCGATTTCGCTACTACAGGACCACCATCGCGAGGGAAGAGACGTATACTACTATCGGATCTGAGTGTTTTATCATCTCCGGAGAATCTCTTCCGGCGTCTGCGGCAGTATATAAAAGCAGAAACAGAGACAACAGCGAGAGCGGCAAGAACGGAGACAATGGCGACGGCGAGGAGTTTGGAGGAAGATGAGTTGGGTTTAGGGGTTTGAGGAAGGATAAGAGAGGAGATGTTTGCGGGGAATGAAGCGAAGGTGGAAGGTGAAGGTGGTGGTGGTGGTGAAGGGTATGTTGGGAAAAAGGGTGTTGAAGAAGATGAAGAGGCATTAGGGGTATTTGTGGAAAATGGATATTTAGTATTTGGCGGTGGTGGTGGTGGTGAGAGAGAAGGTGGAGAAGGTGAAGGGTTAGGTTGTTGAGAAGGTGAGAGTGGGTTTTGTGGATCAAAAGGTTGATGAAGGAATCTTCTAGGTTGATAAGAATAAGATGGTGTAAAAGATGTTAACAAGATGAAGAAGATGCATAAGAAAAAATAGAAACTCCACATTGTGTTATGTTTTTTTGGTATTGTTGAGAGAGAGAATAGAGAGAGAAGAGAAATGAAAGAGAGAAGTGGAAAGAAGAGAGTGTGAAAAGGAGAAAGAAAAACAAGAGATGGTAAAATTTGGGTAATGGTGGATCCAGCTAAGATTCTGCTTGTCTTTCTGTCTTTTTTTCTTGCTATTCATTTCATATACTACTACGTAGATTTGATTAATTATTGTTCACTGATTGTATCAATAAAATTATTCTCCACTTATTCATAATGAGAATATTTTAATGGGAGTATATGGTATATTTACTGCATTGCTAACACATTATTCTAGGAGTGTGCAGCATTTTTTTTTCTGCATACTTGTGAGCTTATAATCATAATCATATTTAACCTCGTGAAGATTTTAAAATAATATAGGATTTAAATTTGTTAATCTTTAAATAAAGAACAAAAGTTGAATAATTTTTCTGAAACTAATAGAAAGAGTTAATAATATGAGATTTCTAAATTAAGATTGAGTATATTATTCAGTTTAATGAATGTTTTTTTTTTTGGTAATAATTCATTTAGACTGATATGAGACAAGAGTTATCAATGTAATTAATTCTCTTCAATAGTCATAATAACCTATTTTGATTATTATTGTGTTAATGAGACATCTTTAAATATTTAAATATGTTGATGTCATGCGATAAATGTCCACAAATGTTTGTTTGAGATATTTCGACTTTTAGGCAGCTTATGTCGTGCCTAAATTTGAAAATGGGTCATGTACGACTTGCGCAGCTTACAAGTTCTAAAATCATTTGTGTTTAAGGTTTTTCTTCTTTCTTCCCCATATAGGTGTGATGTTTGTTTTCCTTTTCATTTTATACTTCACAAAGTCATTTTTTATGGTTTCTGATTTCTTAATGGGATGAGAGTGGGAGGGTGATTTCTCCTAAAAATGTCTTTGAGATACACTGTGGAAATAATGTGTGGATGTGTCTAAATGCACTAAGGGAAAAGTGGATTGGAAGTTTGTGGAAAAAAAAGGTGTGTGGTGTCATATTTGATAGCGCCTTATTGGTAGTCGAGATCATCACAGAGCTTCCCATTAACTCTTTTTGGTGATGGGGTTCTGAGTTAGGACTCAGTTTGCCTCAATGATCCTTAGGTGAAAAACTTGGACTTGTCTAATACCAGTGACAAGACAGATATTATTGTGGAACTCTGTGTCCTAAGTGAGAAGACGTGTACATGGCGTCCGCTTGAATTGCCCAACGAGTATTTCTACTTCTACTATAGTGTTATTGAAGATTTTTGTGTGGGTATCCCCTTCACCATGTTCCAATCTGAGCTTTTAAAAACCTTAATTGTCACTCCTTCCCAACTTTATCCTAATAGTTAGACGTATGCCCGAGCATTTGAGATAATTTGTTGGGGCCTCAATATTACGCCTACAATTGACATCTTCTTTTCTTTTAATGAGTATATAGGGGCATATAAAGGAAGATTGGATTTTAATAAATGATATGCATGGGTGGCCCATCCTCTCCCCTACACATCACACTCACGCTATAAGGATTGGAAGCATATATGGCTAGAGTTGTCAAAATGGGCTAGCCCATATGGGCTGCCCCGTCAAGTCTGAAAAAATCATAGGGATTGGGCCTTAAAACTTAAGCCCATATTTTAAGGCTTTTTTTACCCCGACCCTAAAAAACCAGCTACCCATTAAGGCTAGCCCATATGGGTTGTAGGTAGCCCGTTAGACCCGCATAACTATATTTTTTTTAAATATATATTAATATTTTTATTGTCTTACTTCAGAATAACACATACATTTTTCTCACCTCACTAAATTTTATCTCTATTATATTCAATCTTTCTCTTTTGAATCTTATACATTAATATAACCAACAGTCTTTCCTCGTATTCTATTAATTTCTTTTATGTTAAATATTTTAATATTATTTTATACAATTTAGACATGTGTTGTATTTTAAAACACATTACAGTATTTATAAAAGATAATATAGAACTTAAAAATGTATTATTTTTAAAATAATATATTTTTTAATTTTATTTATAATAAATATTATGGGGTTTTTATTTTAAAAAAGCTCGTTTAGCCTCTGGTAGCCCGAAGCTCATATAAGGTCGGGCTCACGTAGTAATTTTCGAGCCTATATTACAATAGAACTTTTTTGGCTCAACCTTAAAAAAGCTGATGCCCGCCAAGGCCGACCCTTTTAGGGACGGGTAACCTATTTTGACAACTCTATATATGGCAAACATATCCTTATCGGTACGATTTGGTCTCTTTGTCCCTAATAAATCTTTTGGCAATAGTATTAGGCGTGTAGTGTACAACTTTGTCACCCTCTTCCTTGGATAATACCTTTCCATTTCTGGGTCTAAGGATTCCAGTATCGTCAACCCACATGAGTTGGCCCCGCCTGACCCTTAGGAGGAGTCGCCTTTGGCGTGTTTCTTGAGGTGGACCTCATAAACCATACGTTTTATATCATTTTTAAGTTGGTAGTAGCCTTATATGTGGTGTGCTTTAATCTTGTGGAACTTACACCATCTCCTAGGCTCAGGACATATCGCCTCTGATTTTGGAGATGAGGGTGTAGGGATATTATGCAAGTGGAAAACCTCGTGCCATATCTACTCACGGTGACTTTTAAAGGACGTAAATATTTCTACGATTTTCCACCTTGCTTAAACGCCACATTGTCCTTCACAGGTGAGGTATATTTGTTCTTTTGTGGATGTTGTGAGCCATCAGCGTTAGGAATGCGCTCTTTCACGTCACAAGCATTCTTCTCGACATTACTTTCCTATCCCTTTATATAGTATTCCACCATTATGACCACCTCTGCTAATGAAGATGTTGTCCTTTAGGCGAGGGATTCACTGAATTTCCCTGCTTTGAAACCATTTTGAAATGCTCCTACAAACATTTCTTGGTTCGAACGAACGATTTTTATAGTGGCTTTGTTGAAACGGGAGAGGTATTCCCTTAGTGACTCTAAGGGGCCTTGTTGAATCTTAAACAGGATGGTGGTATACATCTTTCTATGTTGACTTGTTGCGAATTGGTTCATGAGTTTCTTTACCAGATTCTGGTAGCTGGCGATGGAAGCTTAGGGGTAGTCCCATGTATCATCATAGGGTTACAACCTTGAAAGTGCTAGATAAAAATATGCATTTCAGAAAATTGAGCAATCTGATGATGGTCATCATCATGTTGATGGAGGCGACATGCTCGTAAGGATGGCTACACCTATCGATCTTCACCATGGAAGAAGACTTGAAAACTTTAGGAACATGTGCTTCATATATCTCATTAGAAAGTGGCTAGGGTCCAACACATACATATCCTTTCTGGGGGTAGCCTCCTGGTGGCATTGTTGAATGTTAAGGACACTGCCCTCTAGAGTTTAGTTTTGATGATGCAGCTTATCTATGGCAGCATGCATCTTCGCTACAATGTTAGGATCACTACTACCTCTAGTATCCTTTTGTGTGAGGGATTATTCTCTCCTAGCAACCATGATTGGGGACAGTTAGAGCTAGGAGTGAAAATTTTAGTAAGTGTCAAAGTAGTAATGATAATAGAAGGTGTAGCTTAAGTCAATTTTACTAGGTCCCATGGTGAACGTGCCACTATAATTGCTAAAATAATCTAGAAGTGCAGATGTTTAATTTTGAAATACTTCAAAAAAAAAATATTTTAACAATAACTTGATTTTCACATTCAAATTTATTAATATAAAGTTAAAGTTAACTTGATATTGTATATAATAATTAGTTTGTGTGAGTGTTTAGTCATTGATTATTTTATATATTTTAGATTTGACTTGTTATTGTTAGAGATTGATTTATTTAATAGTGTATTAATTGCAAATTGTTTGGGATTAAACACTTCTTTAATTTGAATCTCTAATTCAAACTAAAGAAGCAACTTAATTGAAATTGTGCTAAATTTTATCATCCTGCGAGTTTTGCTTAAATATTAATCATAAGAATCATGTCAATAAGAAGTTTACACATTAATATTGTGTTGGTTGTATGTTTCCACTTGTGTTTACTGTTTACATCTATTCACGCCCTTTAGACACTTCTATGAGTCATATCAACCAACAAGTGCTTCATCGCTTCTTATCATGCAATTTCTAGAATTATCAATATATATGAAGTGTTCATGAGGTCATGGAAATGAATAACAAAGTAGTTGTAGGAGAAAAAATAAGAAGGAAAAAACTTTGAGTTATTTTAAGTTAAGGCTCTAAAGCTGGAGTTTGATGATGAAGAAGTTTAAAATGATGAGGTGATGGACATTAGAAGCATTTTTTTAAAGGGTTAAGATATGGTCTTTGTCGATCTTTTGATGGAAAATTCCATTATGGTATAGAAATAAGATGTAGAAGGGTTTGGTTTTAACTAAGAAAACATATTGGTAAGCTTTCACATAGTTGATTGATAGATGTGCATATACACACTCCACCATTTGAGATACGTTGTTGTTACACTATTGTGAAACACAATTTATAGTTGCGTCACAATATGGTGGAGAGAAAGAGAGGGGAGGGTTGAAAAAATATATGAAGTGAAAATAAATCAGGGATTTAAGAGAGTGGATGACTTTGAGTGACTTATTTTTTTTCATAAATATGCTATAATTTAAGAGTTTAATAAAAAAAGAGCTAACCTAAAAGGTTAACGCTCCAACACCCAAGTTATTGTGAGGGTGAGAGAGTGAGATGAAGTGAATGAGATTTGAATTCGAATTACCTAAGAAATAACATATTCTCCCTTATATATAATAAAGTATTATAACTGCTTGCTAAGATAACGACGTGAGATGTGACAAACAGTCTAGTTGATCTTAGGTTGGGATTGCCTGCTTCCTCATCTAGGATAGGGTACCTGTCCCACACGTGGTCTGATGATTCATTTCGCTTCTGGGATATGGTTATTGGTCCTTCTGAATGGCTTTAAATAGTTACGCCCTAAGTTAT